CTCTTCCTTCTTAACCTCCTCGATTTTTCTCCGTATTTCTGTGTCTAACCAGTTTCTGAGGAAATACAGCTTTTTCAGTCTATTTTTGTAACTGCTGGACTCAGGGATCAAGAAGGACTTCCTTATGTTCTTTCTCAAAGAAGCATGGTCATCATCTCCATGTTGAGGTGGAAAAAGCAGTCGAATGAACAGCAGCAGAGCCGACTGCATGTCTTCCGGGTTTCCCTTGGAGAGATAGGGCACTATGGAACCGAGGGCACTGATCACGTCACTTTCGTCATGAAAGTCGAGCTGCTCATTCACGAAGCCCGACCAGGGCGCCACACTTTGCTGGGGAGACGACGCCTCGGGCTCGATGGTCAGCTGCGTGCTGGTGCTCTCCTTCCGGGCCTGCAGCGCCTTCATCAGCGCCCCTTCCACGTTCCCCATGGCTGCTGCCTCCGCTGCCAGAAAAGAAGAGACGGCCTCGGGTCAGGGGGCCCTGCTGTCCACAGCCACACGTCCCGACCCGTCCTGTCCCAGTAAAATAGGGCCAGGAAATGTTCCAGTGCCACTTGCGAGGGAGAAAACCAAACCCAGAGTTGATCTTTTCTTTCCCCCTTGAGACAGGGTCTCACTATGTCCTTCAGCCTGGCCTGAACTCACTATGTAGCCTAGGCTGGCCCGCAATTCACAGCAATCCTCCTGCCTCAGCCTCCCAAGTGTTAGGACTATAGATGTGCCAGCTCTCCTGGCACTAAACTCAAACTTGACTCTATGAAAGGCAACAGCAAAAAGACGAAAAAGGGGCCAGGAATGTAGCTCAATGGCGGCGCGCCTGCCTGGCAAGTGCAAGGTCCTGAGTTCAATCCCTGGTACCAAAAAAGAAAAAACAAAACAAAAAAAGAAAAGCACTCTTAGGGAAAGTGGCTCCTATCTGAAGGTCCCTTGGATGCAATGCAGCTATTATGTCAAGTCACCCGCCCGCAGATCCCCAGTGACGGCCCACTCCGCAGGTCCACGGGCTCCTCACCTCCCAACCCTGGTCTCCAGAAAGCCTCACATATAAGACAGCTCAAGATGATACCTTTCCTGCCCACAGTGTGCACCTCCGGCCTTGAAAGGACAAAACCTGTACCTTGAAAAAATCACCGCAGACCCCACGCCTCGGGAGGAATGACTCTGGACAAACCTTGCACACAGCTTGGCCTGGTG